AAATATTTTATAATTTTGAAGTTATCTAATGACACACTCTCAAATCGCTTGTGTTTTGTGTCTACAGAAAGGGAAGCAATACTAAGTGGTTAACAGTACTTGTCCATGTAAACATTCAACAAATAAACAAATCACCATTGGTAACTGAATACACAAAACTACTCATTTGGAGTAAACAGTCTGACATGGCAATAAGGCTACAAGAATTGGAAGTACAGCCCTTTCGATTGGTTGTACTGTTGTGCTTCTGGGTGTTCAGCCAACAAATCTATCAAAATACTTTCCAAAAAATTCCAGTAGACCAAAAAAATATGCATGAGCACACTTTAGATGTGACCTTAAAACTGTACAGCCTATTAAACAGACCTAAATCCTTCCTAAATCCTTCATTTCCTTGTTGTCATTCACATCAGATTAAAAATGCAGTCTACTCACTCAAAGCAGTAAATATGCAAAGGTGATGTTCCTTGCGTATTCTGCATGCATGAGCTTATGGTAATGTTATGTTGGTAAGCTAATAAACAAATGAACTGAATATAAGTCATTGCACATGGTAGCAGGTAATCCTGATGTCAAACGGACGTGTTTCTCACATACTTTATTCTCTGTGCTGAGCATTACTGTCTATAATCTTTTTAGTGTTCAAGATGGTTCTTACTTCCCCAACAAATGGCAACATGTCTGAATTTGGCTGTTGGATTTAGATCATTGGGAGCATAACATATCATGTTCAAAATGCCCCGACAAACCTTAAGAGTTAACATACAGATCCAACAAAATCCAGTAAGCTTTGTTAAGACATAAATGTAAATCACAGGTTTATTAGACCAATACAGAGGCAGTGAGTAAAGGCAAAGTCAGAGCAAATGCTTTAGGATACCACTGAAATGACACACACACACACACACAGGGCAACAGCATCCCACTATTATGTTTCATAATGTTTAGTCTACATTGTCTGGGGCCACAGGATCAAACATATCTGTTTAAAGGCCTGACAAATTCAAGACACTTAGAAAAACAGATAATCTCTGCCCTCCACTGCTTCAACAAATCATCCAATATAAGACCACTTCACACTGTCAACCACTGTTGAAAATAAGCAGACAGACAAAAATAAAGAAACACATAGTGAATCTAATGTATTCACTCAAACATCTGCATGGTGATGTATGGTGAGACATAATAAAAATAAGAACTTTTAGTTAAAGGTATAAAATCTGGCGTAGTATAAACACATGAACAGGAGAGGGTTTTTTTTAATGCTCAAGATCAGCCCAATTTCTTCATGGTAAAATAACTTAAATTAAGTGTCATTTCTTACTATCCTGTTATACTTATTACTACCATGCAAAATAAGATTTTGCTGCAGTTATCGATTTAACATTCTGTTGCTGAATCGCTTGCCCTTGTGAAAAAAGTCGCATACTTTAATGTATACTTAAGTGTGAATTGAATGTAATTTTTTCAGACACTTAATTGCAATTAAATAATTTTTTTTAATTAAAATTTATATTAAATACAATTATTTTTCTTATACTGTATATATATACACCGAACAAAATTATAAACGCAACACTTTTGTTTTTGCCCCCATTTTTCATGAGCTGAACTCAAAGATCTAAGACTTTTTCTATGTACACAAAAGGCCTATTTCTCTCAAATATTGTTCACAAATCTGTCTAAATCTGTGTTAGTGAGCACTTCTCCTTTGCCGAGATAA